GGGGTAGGGTACCATGGCACCCCGCCTGGTACCATACCTCCACAGTACCGAACCCTGGGCGAGCTGCTCGAGCCGCTCGCGGACGAGGAGCGGTCGCGGTACGAGCTGAGCGAGACGCAGTGGCGACAGGTCCGCGTACTTTAGTTTTCATTCGTTCTCATTCATTCCTTCCTTCCTTCCTTCCTTCCTTCCTACACGAGCTGAGCGGTGTTGCGGTGGCGGCAGGCCCTCTCAGTCTCTCTTGCATCTCGGCTGATCTCGCCACCACAGCCCCTCTCTCGCCTCCCACAGCCAACTCATGCATCTCGGCTGATCTCGCCACCACAGCCCCTCTCTCGCCTCCCACGGCCAACTCGTGCATCTCGGCTGATCTCGCCACCACAGCCCCTCTCTCGCCTCCCACGGCCAACTCATGCATCTCGGCTGATCTCGCCACCACAGCCCCTCTCTCGCCTCCCACGGCCAACTCTTGCATCTCGGCTGATCTCGCCACCACAGCCCCTCTCTCGCCTCCCACGGCCAACTCATGCATCTCGGCTGATCTCGCCACCACAGCCCCTCTCTCGCCTCCCACGGCCAACTCATGCATCTCGGCTGATCTCGCCACCACAGCCCCTCTCTCGCCTCCCACGGCCACTCGCGCCTCTCTCGATCACCTCTCTCCTCACACGCACGCACACACCTCGCTCTCTTCCCCCTCCCCCTCTCTCTCTCTGCATCTCGGCCGCCCTCTCCGAGAGCGGACGCCTCATCTCGGGCAATCTCGCGCGCGAGATAGCAATCTCGAGCAATCTCGCGGCGGCCCAGGTCCGATCGTCGCTTGAGTGGCGCACCAACCCGCAGTGGCGGCTCGCCCAGCTCGGCGGCGCCGCGCGCACGCTGCGCGGCTCGTACCTCCTAGAAGCGGAAGATCTCCCCCCTCTCTCCCCGTATCTCCACAGATCTCCCCGTATCTCGCCGCCCTGGACGCGGAAGATCTCCCCATATCTCCCCGCATCTCCACCATACCTCGCGCCCTAGAAGCGGAAGACGTGCTCTCTTGTCTTCCCAACCCACGGCTCTCGAGGGGAGGCGCACTCAACTGCATCCGTGCCCCCTCGCATTCACGCGGTCCTCTAGACACTATATATATCCTCTAGACACGGCACAGCACCGTCTTCCTGCCCCCGAGGCTAGTGCCTTCGCCGCGTAGGCCCCGCACCTCCCTTCTCTGCTACCGCACCACCCAAGGAGCTGAACCCACACTGGATTCGAGACTCTGGAG